AATAATAATAATAATAATAATAATAATAATAAGAAGAAGAAGAAGAAGAAGAAGAAGAAGAAGAAGAAGAAGAAGAATTTGTAACTAACTTTTATTATAATAATAATAATTATTAATCTTTTTCCATTCTACTTTATAGAATAGGCATACTGCAAAACTTATGGAATAGCTGGCACCATATTTAGAAAACGATGAAAGCAAAATGTCTGTCCGTCTCTCTGTGTGTGGATACAACCCCCCCCCGAAAAAATTACGAAGCACTCTCACAATAATCTGAAGTTTCTCTTCCAGCAACTTGTTGGTGCTCCGTGTATTCATATACTCGTCCTGCAGCCTAGAACAAAAGATGGGGAGATGATGATGAAAACCACCTTTCTGAAATGGAAATCCAGGTCAGCAAACCTGGATCCAGAAATTCAGGGAGGGAGAGCCTGGGGACCTTGAACCTGCTCTCCTCGGGAGGAACCTGCACGGCTCTCAGAGAGATCTGAACCCTGTTCCTTAATGCCCACTTGTCTGGTAATTAAAAGCATTTCTAACACCATTTATAGGTTTACACTTACTGGCTTTAATTATACCCCGTCTTTCCTCCAATAATGTGGCTCCCCTCCTCCTCCTCTCCCTGCTTTATACGCTCTCTGCAACCCTGCGAGGTAGTCCAGGCTGGGAGACTATAATGGTCTGGGGCCATCGCCCAGACCATTTCTTGTTCGACGATTTATACGTTAAATAGGCTGATAAACCTGATTTTCCTCGAACCAAAGGTGGCAATCATGGCTCCGCTCCTCACTTCACATTTATGCAAAGTAAGCCACACTAAAAGAGAAGGGGAGGCTAATTAATCCAGGGCCAACTGCTGCGAATAGTGACTCCATGAGGACTAGAAGCTCACTTCTCAAGCAGGAGAGCTTTTGGAATTCAGCTCCCTCCTGCATCTTGACTGCCCCTGGAAGGGGAAAAAATCCACTTCTAATTCTGAAGCAAGACTTTCTGCTCCAAGTTCACTCTGCCCACCTCCGAGGGGGCACCAGGAGGGAGTTTTCAGGGACGGAGCAAAGAGATGTAGTGGTATGTTGGGATAATCCGCACATCGCCACTACAATGTAGTGCTTCCCCTGTGCATGAAAATAAATTACATGCATGCATGCATGCATGCACACGTACATACAGTTGTCACCATCTCGTGTAATATAGCACATCCATTCACAAAGGAAGGAAGGAAGGAAGGAAGGAAGATGGCATTAAGGAGTGCAAATATAGCACCTTTATTCACAAAAAAAGTAAAATTCATTCAATTGGCATTCAGGGCTGCCAAATATTCCCCTTTTGTCTCCCTCCACTTTCCGCAGACAATCATGGCCCATCTCACCTGGTGAATTTCTCTTTTAGATTTTCTAATTCCTCCCAGGTTTTCTGCAGATCTGGCTGAGTGGATATGGATTTCAGCCCTTTTTCTTCCTTCTGGACGGTTATTTCTGCCTGTTCTTGGGGGGACCTATAAAGAGCAGGAACCAAAGTGTTTAGGGAGCAGTTGTGGAGGGGGAGCTCCTTCCCAGGAGCACCTGCCAAGGCTTAAAGGGCAGGAGTCTAAGCAGCCATTTTGAAATCTGTTGCTGGAGGACCTGCAGGGAGTGTAACACTTCATGTAGGGGGAGAGGATTCTGGGAGTTGTAGTCTAACAGGGTAACTTTCTCCAGCTCTCAACAGAAAAAATATATACCTTTTAAAACTACATCTCCCAGCATCTACCCTCTCAGATGGCCTTGCCATTGAGAAAAATAATTTATGTGTTCAAAGTTGATATTTTTTTACAAATTAGACTGCTAGGCTCTAAAACTGATAAAGACAAATTCACCGAAACATTGAGACAATTTGGGGCTAGTTATGAAACTGTAGTTGGAGGAATTTTTCTTACACCTTCAAAATAGTTTCGGCCTTGCCATTGAGGAAAATAATTTATGTGTTCAAAATTGATATTTTTTAAAAAATTTGACTGCTAGGCTCTAAAACCAATAAAGACAAATTGACGAAACATTGAGACCATTTGGAGCTAGTTATGAAACTGTAGTTGGAGGAATTTTTCTTACACCTTCAAAATAGTTTTTAATTACTTGTTTTAAGGAACTAGTTATTTATTATTATTTATTTAATTTATATGCCGCCCACACTACCCAAAGGTCTTTGGGCGGCTTACAACATTTAAAAGACTGTACAATAAAAATTCAGAACAATTAAAATACATTTAAAATTTAACTAGTTACTTGTGCATAACTCCTTTTTTGCAATAACTAAGGCATAACGTGCCAAAACATAAGTTCCTTTAGGTACTCCCTTGAGGGATTTGCCGACCTTTAATTTATGTATTTAAAATATTTTTATCTCCCTGAGGGGTTTGCCGACCTACAGCCTCTACCACCTGAGGCCTGTTACCCTTAGCATCACATCTAGATACACATACTGTAATTTATTTAATTTATGTATTTAAAATATTTTTATCCAGCCTTTCTCCTTAAAAATAACCCATAAGAGAATGAAAAGCTAAGGTCAGGTATGTGTTTATTTCAATTATATTTATTCATTATTTGGCTACTCAGCATGGTGTAGTAGTGGATAGAATAACAGACTAGGACTCAGGAGGCCTGAGTTCGAATTCCTATTGAGGCATGGAAACGCCCTGAGAGGTTGTGGAACTGATAAAACCACTCCTTAAATATCTCAGTTTGCCGTAGAAGCCCCTATTTGGTTCGGTATAAGTCAATTCTGCCTTGGCAAAACATAACATTCATTCATTCATTCATTCATTCATTTAATAAGCAAGAAAGTAAGTAAACAAATAATATCAAGTATAAAATCCCTCCCTCCAAGAAGTCCAATTTAGAAAACATATATTGCTACGAAATGTTTGATACTTACAAAGCTTGGTCTGAGTTGTCGTTTCCTGGCAGCTCCTGAACAGAAAAATAATCCCAGTGATCAAACGTGTTTAAAAAGACATGTCGCAAAGCCTCAAGTCTAGAGGCTTCAAAAGATATCACAGGTAGAGCTTAAATATCTATGTGCATGCCAATAAAATCAATGATATGCAAGCATTCAGCCTATTGAATCCCAACCTTATTATTATGTAAATATTTATGAACCTGTATGTCCACACGAAACTCCTCAAAATAAGCAAAAAAAAGGGAATTAACCAACGGCTACCACCTAAGGGGAACAGAGCCTGAAAGTTTATTTTATCCCTGGTTTTAGAAATGCAGATTAAACATCTCAAGAGAAGGAGTAGCACAAACCAGGGTTGGACTTGATGGCCTTTCTAAGCCCCGTCCAACTTCATGATTCTGTGATTCTATACAATAGAGGAGAAAAATGTAAGAAAATATAAGATTCATTCATTCATTTATGTGAAAAAATGACCACATCAGCTGCCTCTGTGTTGTCCTTTTTTACCCCACCATTCTTTAAAAAAAAGGACCCAAGGCGGCTTACATCACACAAACCAGGGTTGGACTTAATGGCCTTCTAAGCAACACACACACACACAAAATCTTTTGAAGAACAGAATGGCTGATGTGCAAGCCACGTGTAGTGCTGGCCACACCCCTTTATAACGTGCACACCACGGCACGTGTGTCTCCGTGCGTGCATGGACGGTGGTGCCCGTGCCTGAGTTCCTTGACACGTGTCAGTTACATTTCATGACGGTGAGCAGCTGCCGGCATTCGGGTCCCTCACAAGTCTACAAAAGCTTTGAAAAGGATCAAACAGATTCTGCACTAAAAGGCAGTAAACAGAAGCAACATCAAAAAGGCATTTGAAACAAGAAGGCATAATAATAATAAAATTAAATAAACAAACAAAAAACATTCAGGCAACCCGTCATGAAGGAGAAGCCTGTTGGAAGATAAAGGTCTGTTTGTCTGCTAGCGGAAGGACAGCCAAGAACGGGGACAGTGTGGCCTCCAGTGGCGGGGAGTTCCAAAGTCTCTGGGAGCAGCCACCGAGGAAGGCCCTCTCCCGTGTACCCACCAGACACACTTATGAAGGTGGCGGGACTGAGAGGAAGGCCTCCCCTCATGGTCCTATCACCCGGACTCATCAAGGGAGACATGGCAACACATACACACACACACACAACTTTTGAAGAACAGAATGGCTGATGTGCAAGCCACGTGTGGTGCTGGCCACACCCCTTTATAACTTGCACACCACGGCACGTGTGTCTCCGTGCGTGCATGGACGGTGGTGCCCGTGCCTGAGTTCCTTGACACGTGTCAGTTACATTTCATGACGGTGAGCAGCTGCCGGCATTCGGGTCCCTCCTCAGTTCCTCTTGACCCCAAAGGTCAAAATCCCCAAGTGGAAAACCGAGCCACGTGGTCTGCACGGTGCATGGTGAGATGCCACGAGGAGGGCCATTTGAGTGCGCTTTTTGAGCATTATAATGGAGCAGGCAGAAGAAATGGGCCATGTTCTTCTGCTTTGGAGCCCGGCCCGTCTTTCCGGCCTGTTTAGCATCCACCCGACAGGGGAGAGAAAAAACAGAAAGACTTTCCCGCAACCCGAAGGACCGGAGGGAGAAACGCCATACCTTCTTCACGCACGTCCCGCTCTTCCCCGCCATGCTCCCCGGCTGTTCTTTGCCGCTTGGTTTTCCGATGGCCGATTCCGAATCCTTCTCCGCTTTCCGAAAGATTGGCTCCTGAGCCTCCGCCTCCCCGCCCTGCCCGGCTTTTGCCCCGCCACGCTTCCTCGGCCCCTTGGTGACCTCTCCGGACAGGATGGGCAAGCTCCCTAAATGGTGCGCCAAGGGGCCGGATTCCGGGCTGGTGCTGGCCTCGTCGGTGGTCTTGGCGTGGTGCCGGCCACGGCGGTGGGGAGCCGAATCCAGCTTGGCTTCCGCCGGCCCCGGTCTCCTCCTGACCCTTGAGGCCATCTCCTCCTTGACCTTCCCCTCGGGCATCTCCAGCGAGGACCCTGGGGAACTGGACTTGCTGGTCGACCCCTTGGAATCGGAGCCGTCGGTGCTGGGGGCCTTGCCGGCCGAGGTGTGCTCGGGGGGCTTCCAGCCGAGGGAGCTGAGACTGGAAGGGCTCATGACCTGCTGGGTGATTTCGTTCAGGAACTCCGAGAAGCGCAGCTTCTGCTCCACGAACTTCATCCGGTCCGCGGCGGGCGGCTTTTTGGGCATGCTGAGATCCAGGCTGTTCGGAGGCTGCCTGTCCCGTTGGAGAGGCCGAGTGGGCCCGGGGCCGAGGGCCTGGGTCTCCCGTCCGGCGGACCGCACCGTGATGGTCTCGATCGACTTGGCCTTCCGCAGACGGTCACCCCCGGGGACCCCTCCGTTTTTCAAGATCCCCTTGCTCGGGCCTGGCATCCCGGAGTGGTGAACCTGCCGGGGGGCTAAGATCTCGGCCTCTTTGCTGAAGACGAGGCTGCGCTCCAGGCTGGTGGCCTTGTAGATCTGCCGGTCGATGCCCTCCCCCTGGCCCGGCCGGGGACCCTGGCGATGGGGCAACCGGTCGGCGCTCTTGCTGTGCCCCTTCCTCAAGGTGGCGAAGGATGGGACCGTCTCCTCCTCCGCCCCATAGGCGGCTCGGTCCGGCTCCCGGCCGCGGGGGCGGAAGGTCCTGGCTTCCCCCGAGACGTCCACGCAGGACTGGGAATGGGGAGGATGGTACCGAGGACTGGTCAGGAGGAAGGTCTCCTTGTCGAGGCTGGCCTCGGAGGACCAGGAGGCCTCGGAGGTGGTGGCCGACGTGGAGGAGGAGGAGGAGAAGGTGGAGAAACGGTCAGTCCGGCTTTCGGCCCACTGTGGGCGGCCGCGGCAGTCCCGCAAGGCTCCGTCGGACGCCGCTTTCCCTTCTTTGGCCTGGTGGACCGGCGTAAAGAACTTCTCCATGACCTGCAGCTTGCCCGATGGCACTTCGGTGCCACCACCATCGCCGCCTCCCGCCTCCCAGTGGACTGGGGAGAACGGCCCGGTCTCCTCCTGAGCTTTCTTGTAAGATTTTCGGCGGATGGCAGAGGCGCTCATCCTGCACTGTTCGCCACGTCCGGAGGCTGCCGAGCCTGCCCCTCCGGTCTGGCCGGTTTATTTAACAGCCCCGGCCGGTTGAGTGAAGCAGAAATAAAAGGACGCCAATACAATCGGCACTGGAGCGTTTGATCCCGCTGGCAGAAGCAAGCTTTATTCCGAAATCTGTATCTCCTCCCCTACCCTGTCCATCTGAACCTTGCAGTGGGAGACCAATTTTCCAGCCTCCCAATTAGTAAACGAGTTGTTTCGCTCCCTAGGAGTTGAGTTGACCCGATCCTGGACGTGAAAAGTTTGATTTTTGTTAACTATTAATTCTTGGGATCCCCTAACTGGCAGTTTTGAACGCATTCCCAAAAAATCAAGGAGTCTCTCCAAGAAATGGGGCTTTGATCATCAAGAGCCAGTGTGGTGGTGAAGAGGCACTGATGGATTGGACTCAGGAGGCCTGGGTTCAGATCCTCCGTCTCCCATGGGAACTCACCGCCGTGGCGAGGGGGTAGAATTAATAAATCCACTCCTTTAATCATAGAATTATGGAGTTGGAAGGGACGCCAAAGGCCATGGAATCAGATCCTCTGCTCAAGCCAGGATGTGACACACGATTGTACAATTTCCCCTTGAATGCCTCCAGCATCGCAGCGCTCACCACCTGCTGAGATCATGGGCTCCCTTGTTGTACTACTCTAACAGTTAAGAAGTTTTTCCTTCCATTCAGCCTAAATCTGGGTTCCTGTAACTCAAGCCTATTATTTATGTGTCCTGCACTCTGGGATGATCGAGAACAGATCCTGCCCCTCCTCTGTAGTACTACCTTTCACATATCTGAAAAATGCTCTCCCCTTAGTCTTATTTTCTCCAGGCTAAACATGCCCAGTTCTTTCCGTCTTTCCTCTTAGGGTTTGGTTCCCAGTCCCCAGATCCTCCTTGTGGCCCTTCTCTAAACTTCATCCGTGTTCCACCTCATTTGAAAACCTTATGAGGGTCACCCACAAGTTGGATGGACTTTGACGACGGAGACCTATGTTCACGCTTGCAGATTATTTTGCAGTTATCACCCCAGTCCAGATCATGCTCAGAAATCATCACCCCTAATCCAGATCATGCTCAGAAATAATTGTGTCATTTGCCCCTCAAGAGCCTTCAGCAAATCACCGGCTCTCTCCTGCTCTCAGTGCAGAAGCTGGGCGCGGGTCAAACTAGAAGTAAATATAAAGGTGGGTAAAAAAATATTTCAAACAAACAAAGAAATTTGTTTTACTATTTGAGACATTTTGCCTTCCCGGATAAACGCCTCTGTAATCAAGACTTGCAAATTCAGCGGATGCTAACTTTCTAACGGGTAATCACAAAAACTGCACAGTAAATGCAAGATACAGAGGTGAGGAAAACCACACGCTCAGACCGATCTCGTTCACCACTTGAGAGAGCACCTTTTTAAAAAAAACCACACACCCAACGCTTTGTGTATTATCTAACTTGACCCGACATTCCTGTTCAGTCTAATTTTGGCACCGCTTATAGCGCCATCCGCCATTCCTAACCTCGGGGCTCAAGACGGGGCATCTTGATCGTGTAAAAGATGATGATTATCGTGGGGCCTCCGGAGGAAGTCCAGTAATTTACTTGACAGGGAGAGAAGGTGCTCCAAATCGCCATACAGCACATGGAAACACGCAAGAAACCAGTAGCATTTATCGCCTGCGTGTGGTCCATTTTGAAAAGCCATTACGATGGAGACTATAACTCAACCACCCATTGCCTAATTGCGAATACCCAACGGCGCTTTTCCTGGGGCCAAGATACTACGGACAGAAAAATTGAGTATTGACCCCTTCAAGCGCACGGGGGGGGTGGGTGGGAAATGACAGCATTTTAATGTCATGAACTGGTGGCCTTACTGTATTCTTTTTAGCCGCAGATTCGGTGCTTGGCCAGACATTTGTGGCACCTTGCTGCAGGCGGCTGGCACATCCTGGAAGGTCCAGGGTCTCTCCTCTCAGCCCCCCACCCCACCCCGGATGGCTGCACTCCAAATCCTCTGCCGTCACTAGAGGCCAGCAAGCCTGCTCCACAGATCAGTGGCTCCGGACACGAGCCGGAAAGGACATGGGCAAGGTCGTGCATGGCTCTGCCACGTGGACAGATCTGTGGCTGGCAGGAATTCAGTCGGGCCGAACGCCCCGAGCAAATCCAGTCAATACCGACGGAGCTGTCATCACCATCACCCGATAACCAGCACGCTCCTGTTCCCGCCAGGCGATTGCATTTCATATCAGGTTGATATATTCGTGAAGCTTTCATTCCCGCCTGCATTCACAAAAGTAGCCTTTACTCTCTTTCTTGCTTGCTATTGAAATACAGGACTTAGAAAGATCTGCTCGCCAGTTGTGACCCTATCGGTGAATGGCTCCCGAGAGATCCTTTCATGAACAGCCCTGTTCAGCTCTTGCCGAAGTCGTGGCTTCCTTGACTGAGTCGATCAGTCTCACGCTGGGCCTCCCTATTTTCCTGTTGCTTCCCCACTGTCCTTTCCACCGTGTCTCCTCTTCTCGTGATCTATCTGAAGCACAACCAGTTTGGTGTACATAGTTGTTTTAGATTCTAGTAGGAGTTCATGCTTGCTTTAATCTAAAAATCACTTACTTGTCTTGCTAGCAAAAATATGATCTTATTAGGATTTTCCTTACGCTCTCCCACGTTAAGTGGCGAAACACATAGCCCACAAGTGTTACTTCCTTTTCCCTAACATCACGAGGGTTAAGTGCCTAAACGCCTAGCCCGCAAGTTACTTCCTTTTCCCTAACATCACGAGGTACACTCCCTGGAGCCAGATGCGAAATAATGGCTCAAGGTGAATAGAGAATTGTAGAAGCCTCCCAGGGACTGGATGCTGGGATTATTTGCATGTAAACCTACTTATACTCCCCCTTCCCTCCTTTTGATTTCAGCATCCAAATTTAGAGAGAAAAAAGAAGGCATGTTGTCATCATTTATGGTTACATTGCCAGAAGCCCAAAAACTCCGGCTGAACTGCTGAAAAGCTCAGTGGCTTGAGGGCCTGAGGTTGGGAGTTCGAATTCACCACTGTAGCTCCTCGGATGGAGCCGGATTTGACGATCCAACTCTGCAGTTGTCTGATGATTTTTATCTCTTGCAAATCATCCAGAGGCCTAGCAATACATCTATGCAGACCCTTATGGCCATCCCTGCTCAAAAAAATTTAAATGCATCTTAAATCGATGGAAACAGCAGTGTAATTTTGGGGGGGGGCAAGATAAATGGCAGCTTGTGCTGTGTATGGATTCTGCAATGGTGATGCGGAAGGGACATTATGATTTAATGTAAATTAAAAGCTCTTTATTGCTAATATGTCATACAGAACATAAGGGCGATGGACACCTTGCTCAGAGGCCCAGGTAGGTCGGCACAGAACCAACATGTAAAGACTTTTGAAAGCTTCTAAAACACGCCTCCACGCCAGCTCACGATAAGGAAAGTTCTCTCAAACTTACTTGCGGAGATAAAACACGAGGAGAAATACTGGAAAACCATCTTGATCAAATACAGACAAGAGTGTGGGGTGAAAAAAACCCAATCTTTTTAATTCTTGCTTTTTTTCCTTCGTCTTTACCCACATACACACTATGAAACAAAAGTTACAATCATGGAAAAGGTATATAAAAAAAAGATGGGCTGCGTTTCATAATCTGGAGGGGAAAAAATATCAAAACCGGCAATCACAGGCTAACCATCGGATCCGACGCCTCTTCATGACACTTCCACCTAAAGATAAAGGCATAAACCCGAGGCTTGCCACAGTTGTAGAACAGCACAAAATAGGTTGAAAAAACAATTATACATTTCCTTTATTTACAAAAAGATCTGGGTTGCAGAATGTAGACGCTTGGTTCAGAATTTCCATTATTTCCTTCAGCGCCTTGTTCGTTCACTTCAAATAATCTCAAAAAAAAAGGGGGGGATTTTAGAGCTGAGAGGAGCACCGTCCCTCATCTCTTCGGACCTCCGGAGAAGTTCAAGGTGACTCTTTAGAAATCCAACAGAAAAGCAAAAGGAAACGAAGCTCCCGTTTGCATCTCCTCCATGACAACCCCTCATGGTAGGGCGAAAAAAAGTTTATATACATCAGCACATATTTTCAACCAAACTCTTTGATCGATACAACATTTCCCGTATGCCTTACAGCTATCAAGGGGTAAATGGCTTTCAACTACAAAGTCCACCAGAAAGCAAAGCAAAACAAGGTTGCATCGTGAAACTTTGCGGGAAACCGACGCGGACCTCCGGGCAGAACCTAGATCTATCTATACACATGGAGCTCTGCTCAGGCGAACGAGGGAGGGAGTTTCATTCCACAAGGAGGTCAAATTTCTCGGCTTCTTCAAACTCCGCGTTCATCTGCGACACCCACTCGTCCAGCTCCAGTTCCTGAGAAGGCAAGGAAGGCCATGGTTAGCTTTCAAAGTAAGCCCAGCTCAACAACTAAAACCCCCCACCCCCCCAAATTTTTGTTGTGATGTTGCCATCAAGGCGCCTCCTGGCTGATGGCGACCCTCGGAGCGAGCCATCTCCGAAAGGCCCTGTCCTCCGTCGCCTGCCCCACTCTTGCAAACTCAAGCCTGTGGCTTCCTTTAGTCCGTCCGTCCGGTATTGGGTCTCCCCTCTTTTCCTGCTGCCTTCCACATCACAAAATGTAGAAACGATCAGCATAGATACCGAAAAAAACTAGCTGGAAACCCAGAAACTCTGTACCAAGTTTCTATAGAACAGACAATTCTATAGAACAGAAAATTACAGTATGTAAATAAAGCTTTACACATATATTATGCTCTTGCGGGGTTTTGATGTGCCCGGTGTTACCTGAAGCATTTGCATTTTTGTTTGTTTGCTTGAAATAAAAACCCACAGGACACCAAAGGGAGAAGCCCTTGGTTTTTTTTAAAATATCAGAATTCTCTGTCACTTTAGCTCAAGTTCTGACCCAAGCGTACTAGATTCTGAAGCAGGACAGCCTCAGCTTCAGCGTTTCTGCCTCCAGTTCAGGCTTGATTTATTCTACCAACTAAATGGAATTTTTACCCCATGTTTTTATGTTAATCGTAAACAATCCGGAGGCTCAGCGAGTCAATTCTTCCCTACATTCCATTGATTCCAATGGGATTACTTTAACTGCAACTTACTTTGCCTTAGGAAGTCACAGCTCTTTCCAAATCGCCGTGGATCCAATGGGCCTACTCCAGTGCAATTTACTGCGCTAAGCATCAGGATTTGGGTCTATGATGCACTATGGTCAAGATTCAAACCTTCTTCCCATGCATGCATTTCAGAATTTACCGTACTTAAAATATTTTGTACCCTGCTTTTCTCCTAAGAAAAGACAGAAGGCAGCTTACACCATTAAAATGCAATGCTAAAGTGCATTATTCAAATATGTATTACACAAATTAATAAACTTATATTAAGTATGTTAGGCAAAGCATCACTAAAACAAGTTCAGAAGCAACAAAATGCCAACCATATAATTTTAAAGCCTTTCCTAGACAGTCTGTAATGCAGGGAAAACCTGCCAGAAGAGAAGGGTCTCTTTGCCTGCTTGCAGAAGAACCGCCAAGAAGGGGCCAGCCTGGCCTCCAGTGGGAGGGAGTTCCACAGTCTCTGTGGAGCAGCCGCAGAGAAGGCCCCTCTCCCGTGATCACCAATTTTTATCCAACGTGTTCCCCCGAACGATACCTACATTGAATTGTGGGATCTTCTTTTTCTTTCGTCTCTCTCTGATGAATGAAATACCCGGGATGTTTAGGTCTGGCTCAGGAGGGGTCCCCATTTCTGCCCCTGTCAGCTTCTGAGTGGCGTCTGGATTCGGGGGAGACGCGTCGGCCTCGCTGCCCGGCGCCAGGAACTTCTCAAAACCAAAGAGAGTTTGGCGCTTCTCCGGCCCGTGGTTCGGTGTGGAAGTGTCGGAGAGACCGAACCTCGGAGGAGGAGAAGACGGCCTGTCCAGGAAGCTTCGAGTGAAGGAGACTTCCAGCCGACTATAAGACCGGCGCACGCGTTTCGCCATGGTCAGATCCCGCTCATTCTCCGGTGGGGAGTCACTTGTGTTGCCTGTGATTGGAGATAAGACCACTTTGCCACCCGAGGGTGTCCCTGACTCTGGATTTAAGGTGCAGCTTCGGGAAGAGCGAGGCTCTGATTCTCTCTTGGCATCACGTCCCAGAGGACTTTCACGCTGAGTGCCTTCCGGACCAACGTTCTCTTTCCCTTCTTTTAGGGAGAGCTGTAAGGCGAGAAAAGGACAAACTTAACCTTCACAAACAAGCTGGCTGGATAGCTCAGAGAGTTATGAATCTGGACACAGAGCCAGAAGTTGGAGGTTCGATTCCCCCACGGCGTCTCCTGGGAGAGGAACCAGCCTGGGTAGCCTTGGGCCAACTGCACAGCCCTAAGGCACCCCCCCCAAAGAAGAACGAAAAGGTCAACCACTTCTCTCTACCCTGAAAAGGGCCACCACGAGTCAGAATGGACTCGAAGGCACCTGAATATATATTTGCTGGCTGGATAACTCAGTTTAATACTGCTGTTTAATACTCACCCTTGGACTCCGTCGTGGAGTCGAGGGCATCTCTTTTATCTGGTTTGGGAGAAAAATAATAATACTGTAATGAAAACAGAGTCGTCAAGGAAGGACCCTATATATATAATTTTTGGATTATTCCAACGGCATTCTTCTTACGCGTTTGCCCAGAGTTAACAGTATGAGGTCCTTCTCGATTCAGCATGAAGCCACAACAGCCGGTTTGCCTTCCAAAGGAAAAATAAGCCACCCGAATCAAAGTTACATTACTTTAGTATTTAATGTTTTGCCGGAGACATAATGCACAAACAACAAAATCGTCAGTCGTCGGCCTTACAACCAGAGTGGTTGTAATTAAGCGTTTTAATAAACACGCCCTCGAAGAAGTCACGTCGAGCATTTCACACTGAAATAAAGAACGATATATTTTCTACATCCAAAGATCAGAGTTCCTCCCTTTCTTTTTCGTCCTAGATTTCAGTGGGTGTGTTTTGTTATTTTCTAGAAAAAAGCAAAATGCTGAGTCATGGTTGCAATGAATCGAGGGGAAAAAAGCCCAAAATAAAGCAGAATGGACAGAAACCAGTAGATTTGAGGTCAGCACTCTCTGAACCCCCCCCCTTTTAAGTGCCTTTTTCTTTCTGCTCTTATGTTTCCTCCAAAGAACTTCAGAAACAACACTGCCAGGTAGATTTGACCAAAAGGAATGAGTCCTTTTTAAAAACAAGTGTATTGCAAGCAAAAAAGGACAGCATATATGCAGACAACAGTTATGACGGAAGTTCCACGTTGCTGTCTCGAATCAAAGATGGGTTCCGACTGTGAGGAACCTGAAGAGTATTTAAGAGTTAATCTGGAGAGAAGGTAAAAGCTCCTTAAACCACACATAAAAAGGCCAACCCCATGCACGGAAGTCCACCTACCTGCCTGGCGCGGGGCGCAATCTTTTTCAGAGTTATCGGCTGCATGACGAACGGCGCTGGGCGCTGCAGAGAGAACAGAAACTCAAATGAGATTGAAAAATTAAATTCTAGGAGGACGGACTCATATAGAAGGAGGTGCAAAAAAACTCCCCCAAAACCCAGCCACTACATGACGAAGTGACGAGGTTCAGTGATATGAGAGGCTTTGCAGGAGGAAGATGTGGAAAATACGATGCTCAAGGTTGTACCCAGCGAGCCAATTAGTTTTGAATATTAAAGGAGAAACCATTTTGACACACGGGAAAGTGAAACGAGGTTGCAACAGAGATAAGCACAGTGTCCTGACAAACATGTAAATGGAGACAGAAGGACCGTACCTCTCCCTAGGATCCTTCTTGGCTCTTAAGATCATCCCACGAGGCCTGCCTCTCGGTCCCCTTGCAAACACGACCGATCGGATCACGAGTCAGGGCCTTCTCCGTGAAAGCTCCCAGGTGATGGGGTGCTCTCCCTTGGGAGATCAGGTTGATCTCTTTTATCCTTCTGCCCACAACTGAAGACCCACCTTTTCAGGCAGGCTTTGAGCTTGACTTTGAATATGTAACCTTTAAAATTAAGTCCCTGGCTGTTGATTTTTAGCTTTCCAGGTTTTTAGATTGGTTTTTTTTTTTTAATCAATGTATTTGCTATATTGTGGTAAGGATGATACATTATCATTTAAAGCGGTCAATGAAATCAGTACTAAAAACACATTCAAAAAGAACGGAGCACAGCAATCCCTTTAAAATTTTTGTATTCTTCTTGCCTTCATCTTGTTTGGTTTTGTCTCTTTTCTCCTCTATTTCCTCTTCCTCCCTAGAATTCACATTTATTTTTGTGGTGCTTTCATAAGATGTTGTATTCTTGTCGTCATCTTGTTTGGTTTTGTCTGTTTTCTTCAATGCCATTAAAAAATAAAAATAAAAAACAGGTTATCTGGGCTACCCAGAAATCAATAAATGGGTCTGAAGTGGACCAACCTACAGAATTCATTGCCACGTGATCGTCTCTCTATTAGGTGAGGATCTCACAGGAGGCGATGCATTGGAACCTGAACTCCAGTTCCTCCAGTCCCGCATGCCAGGTCTTGGATCTTGTCCTATGGCTGGTGAATGTCTGGCTGTGTTGTTCATTTTTAGGAGGTGGCCCGTTTGTTCTGAATGGAATTTAGTGTCGCCGCCAAAACAGAAGCCTCTTTCGCCAGGTGCGACCTTTCGGAGCGGTGCTGGTGGTGGCCTGTAGAAGATCATCCTTCTTCTTCAGGATCGTGGCTTCCAGAGCCCCCGTGGCGGCGGCTGCCCTCGGCAGGTTTGGGCCGGCCCTCTCCCGCAACGCCTCCAGCCCAGTCAGAAGAAGATGCAGCGTCTCATCTTCTATCCCTGTCACTGGGATGCTCTGTAAAAGGGCCCCTGAAATTTCCAGAGCTTTCATCCGGACCTCGTCCTGGCCGCTCGAGAAATAGGTTGCCGTTTTTCTCAGGAGGTCCACGCTCCGTTTGGGGCTTTCTTTGACCAGGTGCTGCCAGAGGTCTACAGTAATTTTTGTGGAGCTGATGTTGGTCGTCTTACACAGATGCCGAAGCCGTTTTTCTGCCACAAAATCCAGGGCGTGGGAAAAAGCAACTCTGCACGCCTCCGAGACTTTGCGGTTGCGGTCGCTCTGATGGACGAGCAGGGGCGCCAGATTTTGCTTCACCTGCTCCGCAAAAAACGCCGGGCACTGCTGTTTGGCCCTGGTGGCCAAGACCGCAAAGAGGTGGAAGGCCGCCCCGCGAACGTGGTCATCCTCGTCAGACAGGAACACTGTGACGTTCCTGCAGATGTC